GTCCTTTCGATACAAACTCCCGAACATAATTATTATCCTTAAATACCTAGCCTAATAATTTAATGGTAAACTACTTAAATCTAATATAAGGTATAAATTCAATACACGCATTCCGTTTTCGACTCCACGCAATGTGAATCGTTGTTATTTTGGAGTGACTTCTGACATTATCAGTGTAATCGCGGTTGAGTAGCTATCGTTTTAGATTTGTATCTTAGTTGCCTACCGAAACAGACCATTGAAATCGCCATTGACCAAATACAACCATTCGACGGTAGTAACTACGAAAACTGCCTAATCTATTTGCGGGTTTAACGTTTAAGACGAAATCGTAAGTTAATGAAATTATACTGACCACAATAAAAATAAGTAAAAACGTTGATAATTTCATTAAATCTCAACTGTTTTTGCATCTAGAATGTTGCCGAAGTTTTGTTTACAAGACACACTTCTTAGTTACCCGTCTTCTAAGTTTTGTTTCACTGTAGTAACTCAAACCGTTTAGAAAATATGCAATTTTGAATGCACGGTTAATAGTTTGCCAACAACGATGAAGGGATAAAAAAGTGACAGACAAAATTTTGTTTGATGACTTTACTGATTGATCAGTGTTTTTCGTCTGAAGATGTAACTAAGTCAACGCTCAACTTAAAATTTGCTTTCTTAAAATATTCGGTGATATTTCGAATTCGTGTTGACTGTTTTTGTCCCGAACAACATGACTAAACTTAGTTTTACTATAACTCATAAGATATTAACAAGACGTTTATTTATTCAGTGATTATATCAGTTTAATAGATTGCCGTTTTGGTATACTTTTTACATGCAAATGCAATACATAATTTTAATTAAAAATCTTAAACTATCAAAAAGTAAAAAACATCATGGTACATAACAAGTATTGAGGGTCATTAAAGGTCCTCCTCCTTATTTGCGCCACAGGCCACCAGCCTTAACCAATTTATTTATATATACATGTATAGTGTTTACATATTACTAGTATAAAATAGAATTTATAAAACGCAACGTCTGTTAATCGCACGTTGTTTATAGGCATTTCAATTTGTTTGGCTGTATTTGATTTGTACTCGAAAGCAACGAGACTCCAGACGTAATTCTTCATGGTTGTACAACAATGATAATAATAATAATTACAATAAAAACGGTACAACATAATTTTACAATACACTCGGTCGTATATCTGTTTTTAATTTTTTAGTCCAGCGTACAGGCTATGGTCGTTACTATAATAACGAGCAACAAATAAATACTTATTATTATTATTATTAGGGAGAAGAAAAAAAAGATTCCAACTGTGAAAACGAGTCTATAAAACAAAACGATCGGATCTCCTGGGACGTCTCTCGGTCATGCGAATCGACTATTAGCGTCCAGTGGAATTATGTACACAACAGTAGTTAATGGTCGTATGACAATATTTTGGAAGTAAAAAAAAAAAAATCATGTACAACCATGACAACGTTATCAATTTTGAGTTTTATTTTTCGGTAACTAAACGAAAATATGCATAACACCAGACCGAACAAAGTCCTAAGGTAAACGAACCTCAGAACACTGTTAAAGCCAGTTCATACACACACACACACACAAAACACGTACCGTGCCAAGAGAGTCGTCCGTGGAGCTATTAACGTTAAGTCGTTTAAACCGTCTAATTATTAATATTATCATACCAAATATTTTGTCGGCCATTACATATTATTATTATCTCACTCAGCACTATTCTTTTTTCTATTTTTTTTTTAACATTACACTGCGAGCAGAATAACACACTAATAATTTACTTTGGACACTTCTGAGTTCTGTGTTATGTCTCTCTACAATATGAACACAATATTAAAATTTTTATATGTTTTACATTATTCCAGAGCTCTATCAATTTTTAAAACTTAAATGGTAACATATACATTATATTTAATTATTCAATTGTTGTTTATAGATTCTGAAATTATGCAAATATAAGGTTAAACACAGTTAACTACCCAACTCTTTGGATTTCGACTCGCTCATCTTTCACGTTCGAATCAGATCGACACGATAATTAAAAAGGCAATATTAAACAAAGAGTTTCATCACGACAGATAGCGTACAGCGAGATAACGTTTCCACATAAAATTTCGCTGTAATTTATATTTAGGACATCAAAAACGGGTATTTTTCTTCCAGGTTTTGTTTTTTAGCGTACGCCCATTTGAACCCAGCAATTAGATAATTTAATGATTCAATTTACGAAACTTGTATTTGAACAAGTGTCGCTTCGGTGTAACCATATTTATTGGATAATAACAATGATAGTTCAAAAAATGTTATAACATAAATAATTCATTCAAATTACTAATCTGCCAGCAACATCTTATTTCAATTTTGTTTTTCTTATCATAATACGCAATGACACTTTGTTAATTCCTCGTTAAGGCCCTTTAAGGTCATCTTGACACCTGAATACCGTTACGGTTTAGTGGTCAGCAAATTAGTATTAGTGAAGATGTGCTGGCAACATATTTCTTTTAGAGATTGTATTAACTATTGAGTAGTATACAGTTTTTATAAAAAAAAAAAAATCAAATATTATTGACGTTTGGTTAATTCTTATCACTAAATTTTGTTTAAACGGTTTCATATTTTGCTTATGCTGGTAAGTGGTAACACTTGACATCCGACCATGAATTTCGAACCCCTGATCTGTTGTGTGACGTCACGAAGTGTCGAGATGAACTGGATGGGTTATAATAGTATTCAAGATGTCGTTAATTTTATTCTAAGTCAAACCTGATATAAAAAGTGAAACGGGATTTTTAAAAAATAATCACTTCATTTTCAAATACCCCAGTCTTGGAACTATAATTAATGTCACCTAGGCATTGCCACAAGAAAAAAAATATCGTGTCTTTTAGACACAAAAAACACATCATTATACCAGTCGCGTCGAATTTAAACCTAACTAATCGAATAAGTGAATTATTCACAATGTAATATATTCACTGGTGTGAATTTACCAACCGGAAGATGTGGTAATTGCTGGGAGTTCAAACACTGTCTTCGGGTTAAACTTCACCACTGCGGTAGAGCACGTGCTCAAGGCCTCGGCGGAAAAGAAGCAGCACTAAACAACATAAGGGAGAACACGTTAAAGAGACAGGTCGCCATCCTGTATTGGCTAGTGAAGTTATCGCTAGTCAACTACACGAGTTGCGATGAAGAACTGCTTCACTGTTTCAATCCAATGTTATCCCACTGAATGGCAATTCAACGACACCACCACAAACATCTGCCAAATGCCCTCAACCGTCTGCTAACGGATCTTCTGGCTCGGTTGCACATCGCTTCCCGGGATTCCTGGTGTGATTAATCCTATCAAGTCTACCCAGGATTGAGTGCCGAACGGCAACTCGGCAAAAAGTAGCCGACAGGATTCGCTTCACTCAACTCTTCATCGACCGCCCAGTCCGAATCATATTCCGGCTGAAAGTCGCCGGGAACGAGTTCGGTAAACACCTAGTTAATATTTTCGGGTGGGCAATCAAATGTCGTTAACGAGACATTGGCCGATGATACCGAACCGAACGGGCGACTGTCGAATAGCCGCAGTTTCCAATTATCATTTCATCGGTATGCAACGGTTCATTATCGGTCAGACCCGACACGACGATCAATAGCTGATCGGGTTATCTTGTATCTGAATAATATAAAACGATATGTTGTTGTAAGAAAAAACTGTGTGAAAGACACTTAAAACTGCAGTACAAACACTTCGCACTGTTGACATCAAATGCAAAGGAAATTGTGTTGTTTGTTAGTTCATGACAAAACACAAGAAGTCACTCTGACGACCAAACGTAAACAAATTATTTGTTTCTGTAATATAAAAATCGTATAACCGTAATACGTGTAGTTTCATATTGTTATTATTTATCCAAACATTTTATTGATAACAATTAACTATCACATGAAAGATTACCGATAATAGATAAAATGTTCGAGCTGTAGTATAATATTATGGTCTGCAACGATAACAGACCAATGGTATAAATTCAGTCTTAGTAAAATTGAACGGTGGTTAAAACATATGAATCGGACAACAAATGGTTAGAAATAAGTTTTACTGTTAAATACTATACAGTTAACAAAAAAAAAAAAACTATATGTAGTTGTAATCATAAAAGATATACATTTATTATAGTCTAACTTTTTAATATAAATGCAGGTGTGCGTCGTTTGTTTCGGTCACGGTCAGCAGTGTTAAGACACAGCATTGGTTTTAATTCATGATAACATGTTTTTAAAAAACAAACCAAAAATCCCAAAAGTATATTTTATTTTAATACTAGTGACTTTATCTAGAACATTGATAATTAAAAATAGCTATTAAACATGTTTATAAAATTATTTTTTTTATTTTTAAGTCAGTAAGTACCTAATTATAACGCGTAATGCGTAACTATGTGTTTATGACGTTACATATTATAAGTTTGATTTATTCACAATTTGATTATATTAAGATCAAAAAAAGCAAGCCATTTGTATATAAATGAATATAAGTATTTTTTCATGAGTATCCATAATAATGATTCATTCTGTATAAACGAAAAACAACTCGTAATACTAGTTTTGTTGCGGAAATTGTCGATAATATTATTTTTGTTACCTTTGTATTAATATACCTATATATACATACCTACATAGTGATCCATTTATCACAAGAGACTTATTTTCGAAGGAAATAATTACAAATTTTTCTTTTATAAAACATTCGTATTTATGTTATTGTACAATATTATAAAATCACTAAATATTTACCTATTTTACGAAGCGTTATTAACTTTTAAAACTTTTTACTTACTCTGGAAAATACTTAAATAAGTGAATATTTTGTCATTTTATATTTTTTTTAAACTACGAAATTGTAATTATTTTATGGAAGAAATAAGTGTCTTATATACGTTAATCACTCGGTATATAATTATATAAATATTGTTAGGTTCAAGGTACAAGGACCATAATAACGTGAACATCATAATCGGTTATGAATGTGGATTTGGCTACAGTTTATAGTTTTCTCCAGCCATAATCATGTCTAGTTGTGTTAAAGTCGTATTGACAGCTTTGGTCGCTGTTCAGGTGAGTGATTAAAATGTAATTTGTCTTATAGATCAATTATTTGCAAAAACAAATAGTATAAATAAATTATTGTAATCATTTATTTAAAATCATCGGAATCATATTATATATTACATGTTCTTGAAAACGAAGCAAACATGTCTAGAATATTATACAGAAATCGCATTAAACATGTAACAGATTAGCGATGTAAATGGTTAGACACATTAGCTAGGTACTTCATACATATTTCTTAAACTGTAAATCAATAGGTACAATATTTAATAGTATCAATACTTTACAATAGGTGCCAATGGTACAATGTACAAAAGGCGACATGCATTGCAATTCATTTTTATTTGCAATTAAGTTTGATTTGTATCGAATAGAACTTCGAATTTTGACTTTTTTATAACGTTTATCTTCAGATTTATCAAACAAACTTGTATAGGTTCCTCTATAATATATTTATAAATATTTGTATACCGCTGCCCCGGTAGAATAGTAAAAACAACTGCAATAAAGAAATTTTACAGGAGAACCAAATAGTTGATAAAAATATTTTTAAATGCTCTCTAAAGTCTAAACTATAATATACATATGATAACTATGCGAATCAATTTAATCAGATCAGCAATTATCAATTTAACTGTTTCAATAAACGATTTACTTGGCCTTTGTGGTTCAGTATTTTTATTATTAAGATTGTAATTGTGAGTTTATGATGTTTTATAAGGTCAACACAAGGTTGGAGTTTTATGGTTAAATACAAATAACAAATAATAATTTATGTGTATTATGTCTATATAATATCCAAGGTGTAAATAACAAAAATCAGAACCTTTTAAAATTTTCTTTCATAATTAAAAAAACAACAATACAAATCCTAGATTGCTTCCGAGACCAGTTTTGAATTCAGCAAAAAAATCGCGCTGTAAAAAACTATGAAGCAGATACTGATTTAGTGAAAAAAATACTAAAAAAAGAATCTAATAAATTTAATTTTGTTCATGTATTTGTTTTTGATACAATGCGCTTGTGAAAAGGTCAATATTATCATCGAATAATACCTAATCAACTGATTATTAAAAAGGTTATCGACAAACATTTTCAACTATTTTCAAAGAAATATATGTAAACAAAAAAACAAATGACCTGGTGGCTTAATTTTCTGACCATACCACAGATGGTATGACTTATATTTATCAAAATTGATGAAACTGCAACTGCTAATAATAATAATAATATTTAACTTTATTAACATTATATAATAAATTATTAAATTAAAAGCACTGGATTTCACTGTAGTGAGGCGGATGTGAATAATGGCGAAATTGGAAACTTTGAGATGGGTGATGTGCATTGGAGTGACTACTGAGTATCAATGAGTAGTCATTAGTAGACAAAATTATGGGGAATAGATTGAGGTGGTTTGGAAATATTGAAAGAAAGATAGGAAAATGTTTTTATTTTAATAGGATGTTTTTATTTGTTGGTATGATAATTTGACTGGTGATAAATATGCCTGTAACTTCAGCCAACTAATTAGAATTAATTTTTTGTAAATATAATTTTTTACTTAATTATAGGTGCTCGGTGCCCCAAGGGTAGACGAAAACTTATGGCTTACCAAAGCACTGGCTACCCAAAAATCTATGAACGAGTCGTTTGCAAAAATTTTTACGAGCGGAGTCGAAGATGCGAAAATCAATACCATTGCCAATAAGGGTTTTGCCGACTTCACTAAATTCATCAAGGACGGGATAGCTCCGACATTGAAGAAGGTAGCATAGTAATAATTAATAAAAAATAATTATCGTTTTTTAAGTGAAAAAATGATATATGTTTTTGTTCGACTGGACAATATCTCGTACTTTTTAACATGTTAAAAACACAAGTTACCAAATAATTTGATAATTTAAGGTGGCGCAAAGCGATTTTTGACTTTTATTTTCAATTAATTTCACAAATGTGATTTTTCGAAAAAGTCGAACATTTCCGGCAGTCTTGGGATTAGACTCTAGAAATGTCTCATATTTTATTATCAAAATTGTGCTGCAGTGTGACCAGACGAACGAAATTACATTTCTCTAGTACATACACAGTGTATACTTTTTAATTGTTACACTAGAGCAACCAGTGATACAAAACATAAGACTTATCAGTTATCATCGCATCTCATTCTCATATTGGCGTATGAAATTTTAATTTTCAATTGATCCATATAATCGATAAGGGTGACAGCAGTTGTAATGTTTAACAACCTATAAAATAAAGTATTTATTTTTATTTAAAGAGGTCACGCTAATCCTTTTTAATCACTTCGTCGCTGAGTGCATAACGTGATGCGTTACAGCTCTATACATTTTTACTCTATGGTATTATTCGGTGTGATTCGCGGTTACAGGTGGACGCGAATCCTATTTACGAGAAAGTAAAAGCGAGATTGAACTATTGGCTCGTTGAGTTGGACAACTTAAACAACGGAAACGCAACCGATTTGTCAAAGCAAAGGGGTAACACGGCTTGGGGAAAATTCGAAACAGCCATTGACAGGATGGTGAAAAGGGCGCCCGACTTCAAGAGGAAAATCCAAGCGGCCCGTCCGGAAGTCCGGCCAGTGTTGGACGACATAGGCAACTTCTTCATGGAGATAATCAACAAAATAGGCGAGATTGCGAAATCTGTAGAGGTAAATACAGGGCGATTGAACCCTATGAGATGTCGAGTGGCTCATGATAAAAAAAAATCACTCTGTATTGAGTGATTTTTTTTCGGCTTATCGAAATACAGTGAAATTAGGTTTTTAAAATTTCTCAAAAAACAGATTTTGTTCGATTCGGAACGTCGAAGCGTGTTATGTTAATATTTTGATTTTTTTTTCTTTTAGAAACAAGTCCAAGACGCTGAGAAAAAAACCGTACAGACTAAAGCTAAAGGAAAAAATTTGTGATTTTACAACAGTGCGGTATAGTTTCTTAATGCCGTTAAGATGTTAGCCGTATAACACCATTATATACTAAGTACTGACCGCTTAGATAATTTACATATTATGAAAATATTATTTTATACACATGATAAACTAAATTTTATTTTTAAGTTATGACTAGAATTAGAATTATGTACTATTCGAAAAAACGAATCCAACGAGAATTTGTCGTTTAAAGACAAAATTCCTGACAAATATATATATATTTTTGCAACTTTTATATTAATATCGTTATTATTGTTTATTTAAAAATAATAAAATATTCTAAATAGCATTTTGGTACGGGTTAAAATAAGATACTTCGAGGCACGGTTTCAATAAAAACAATGTAATTAAATTATATTGTTAAGATACCTGATGATGATTCATTGTCGCGTCAATAACACTACTGTTGTTGTTAACACTCTGTATCGACTTCACGGACAACAATAGTATTCACTTTACTAATATTATAATTCAGTTTACTAGTTGTCAATTGTCACATGGCTGTTGTTGTATTATAACTGATAAGGGTGAAATTGGTGTGGCAATTATTATCGGCCTCATTTCTTTACAATTACCCCACTCGCAACTAATTTACACAATTGAACGCTTTAATTGCGCATAATAAACTATATCAATAGTTTACATAACGTTGTAAATTTAGTCATTTATAGTTTGTAGTGAGAAAGTAAAATAGTCTCTCTGCTCCGCATCAAAAATCGAATATTAAAAAAACATCAGCACATTGGGGATGTGGAGCACAAGTATTTAAAAATTATTACATCTGAAAGTGATAAAATCACTTTCAAATTAACTATTCGATGCAAAGCTGTTGATGACAAAAACTATTAAGTATAAATAAAAATCATTTTATTGACAATACATGTAAAAACAATACCTAGTGTTATTCGATTTTATGAGGTTTTATCAATAAAAATAAGTAGTTTAGATTTTTTAACTTCTTTAAACATATGTTAACGTAACCTTACAAAAGTTTTCACTATAGATTTTTGAGAAAAGTGTTACAGGTAAAAAATGAAAACGTCGATCAAAGTAGATACATAATAATTCTGTGTGTTATGTTAAATAATATAAGTTTTTTCCATGATTGTTTGTCTATTTACAATACAAGAAACCTAAAAATAATAGGTTCGAAAAAGTTGTTAATAGTTGTGTTCTATGTTGAATAATCAACATGCCGTTTGCTGTTCATGTTTAATTTATGTTTTTAAAGTTAAAAACATTAAGCGTCGCGCTTAGAAAGTTATAATGAAACCGCGACGAGAAAATTAAGAAAATATTTTTTTTCTTAAACTCGTCTACACTTTTTTTTATCTGAATTTTAAAAAAAAAATAACTTAATACCATAAATCTTTAAAATCATAAATATTATGACATAATATTAAATTATCTGACAATCATCTGACATGACGTTTTGACACGACCGTATTACGCGCAAAAACCAGCGTAGGTTTCTTTTTTCAAGCACTTTGCCAGTGGGAGTTGGCCAGACCGTACAAACAATGTAATATTGTTTCAATTTAAATGACATTAATCATGAAAATAATTTCGACAGTAAAAAAAAACGTTTAGAGGTTTTATCTAGATGCAGACGAAGCAACGGAACACAATATATAACACTGCCATATTTTACACTACCTATAAAAAGTATATATACTTTCAAGTGCTATTAAGAACATTTAACCGTTTTACAGTTCAGCAATAGAAGTGGGAGGATCGAATAAACCCTATTATAACTTACCGAGTATTAATGTTATTATATTTTATACACTAATGTATCTTACCTCAAATCGTAGTAGTTCAACAGTGGACAGTTTAATTAAATCTCGGTATTATGCAAACGGCATCTTCAATGCCCGATAAGGCCCGTGTAACTATTCTTGAGAATAATTCATCAAAACGAAAAATATTAATTGTGTGTTTACAACGATTTATTATATTTAAACAACATAACATAATAATAATATTGTTATTATCTTCAAGTACCTTTTCACTTGAATAATTTGTCACATTACATTGGTCATAACTCATAATTCATAGTGTAGATTTACCTTCCAGAGAACGTCCATCAGCTCTAACGAGTACCGAGAAATGAATAAAAAGAAAAATAAGGCATAGTGCGTTCAAATAGTCACACGAGCTTTTTATTTATGGCGTCCCTGTCAAATGGGTTCATTTATAACGTTTTTGGTGATTAATAATTGTTATTTAGAGAAAAATTCAAAAATTAGTATTTTCATCAATAATAGTATATACTATTTGAACTTTAAAGGTAATAATGTTAAAAACAACGTAATACACCTAATTATTATGTTAACATTAACCCCACACTGCGTTTAAGTAGTAGACTATTATTAGTATTAGTAGACTAATATTCTTTTTTTTATTAAATTTAGGTATACATAAATAAAACAAATATTTTAATACGAAACACTTTATTTTGATATCATAATTGCATATTAGTGCATAAATGCACACATTAAGTGCGTGTTTAGATTAAAATTGTATACATTTTCTGAAAAAAGGAATCTAGCGTAGGGTTTAATAACTACAATAGATACTGTTGAAAATATATTACAATAATTCTTAATACTATGAGCTATTGAATTATTTATAAAAATCAAAACGGGAATATCGTAATGTAATGTATGGCCTACAAAAAAGTATGTTCACAATCTGTTTTACAGCAAACGCGAAATTATATGAAACTACATCAATATTTCACATGGCAATATTGATGTAGTTTAATAATTCGCTGAATTTTTATAAGCTTACAGCTATAACGGCTCAACTACCAACATCAGTGTAAGAAATACTGCTATTGAATGAAATTAAGCTCTATAGACAATGTTAATATATGATACTATATTGAAGGGCTTAACTGTTTCCAGAAAAAAATGTAGTTATTATTTTATACAAACCCAACAAAGCTATGCTTTTTACATAGCTTTGCACCTTGTAGGTGTCCCCACGCTGATCCAATAACTCACTCATATAGTTATTTAGAATGGCGATAAGGACATAAAGTAAGTAGACACAATCGTTAGTGTTAGAAGCGCAAAATTGGTTTTTTCACACTTACTTGAAACTTGCCAATAACTTCAGTCGATTTCACGAATGTGTTGGCTTTATGGCTTTCTTCGGGCAATAAAAAAAATACTCGGAAAAACCGTCAGAGTACATTCGTTTTAATAAAATTGTCGCCGTTTCGCCGAAGCTGAATATTATTTAACGTCCGCAAAATGTAACGGGAATGAAATAAGCAATAATATATTCTACGGATGACTTATGACGAAGTAAAAATTGTATTTAATTACATACATCTGTAATTAAATAGTAATTGGACCCATTGCAGACGTTTGCAAACAAAGCAAAACTTACTACTTTAAAACATAGTATAAAAATCAATAATATAGATGTTCAAAAATGGCGAACTGTCATGTGCCAAGTAAGTATATAATCTATTTGCACCAATTTTTCAAAATATAAATTTTAACAAAAATCCGTATTATATTATGACAAATTTCTAAGACTTGTACGTAGAATTATCTTAAAACATCAATTTTTACAGGTTTACATGTTTACCGTTCATTATAGTACACCGTAACACGTCTATCTCATAACATTTTACAATATTATACTTCATTTGTCTTGTGATAACATCGTTAGGTTTTTCTTTGTTTTAGGTATATACAGATATAAATAAAATAAGATCTTCTTTTCATTTCGCCACTAAGCCCCGTACAGCTACTAACCGTCAGGGAAATATGAATAAATTTGATTTTATTACACACACACACAAGTACAAAAAGGACAATAATAATGTGCTCGTAAAAAAATCTAATCTAAACGTGAGCGTCTAAACTACCGGGAGTTTTTTTATTTTTATGTTATCAACAAGTCAAATAATTATGTACCGGTTTTCATAACTATTAGAACCGTTTCTGGGCAATTCAAAATATACATTTTGCCCTTAGCAGATATTCCCATAACAGCTCGTCCGAATAAACAGCGTTCAACACGGATTAAAGCCTTAAGAGATTATCATTTCACAAAACAGCTAGCCAATGCACATGTGTAACACCAGTCCATATACATATATAATGTTATCCTGTATGTCATATACTGTACATATAAGAAACGATCGGCGAGTGTTATAATAATATGCATGTATACGCTTAACACATTTGTGTGACGAGGAAAATGATAAAAAATATCTCACCTTTAAGATTGATGGCCGATTGCACACGTGTAAACAGTTCACAACGATCGACACTCGCGACATTCCTTTTATAGTCATCGCCGGATGAAAATATATAATAACAATAATCCTATACAATATCAATGCGGAAATATTGGAATTGCTAAAATGTATTATCCTTGTTACAAAAAAAAATATATATAACTTATCTTCCTATATAGTAAAAAAAAACAATACCTACAAGCCAATAAAGGCACACACTATTAAGTAGGTAGGTACACTTGTTATTTATATTTGAGTATATAATATTATATGGTGGTATTTCAATGCTTGTACTACAAAAAAAAAACCGTTTTACAACGGGCGAAAAATATCTTCAAACCGTTAATCGTTTTTGAAAGTGTTTGGATTTTGCGTTTAAGGCCAAAACCGTAAACCTTACTAACCTATCCTTCAAGGTCGTAAAAAGCGCTTGGACGTGCCCGTCGATAATATTTCCGGTGGTTTTTTGGTCACTTTCACGTTAACTGCGTTGAAAATTTGCCAACAAAACAATTAGGTATTGACAATGCGCCACTCAACGTTTAGCTAAACGGCAGACAAGTGTGTTCGACACGATAGTACCTAATTGAACCTAACTTGCAATATTATTACTGTACAAATTAGCGCCTACATACTTTGAACGTCGCCAAAATATATCTAATGATCTATTGTCGGACGAGGATCTATACACCAGGGAACCGGTTGAATAGTGACAAATCAACTAAAAAAACATAATTCCAAAATATTTTCCCCGACTATTGCAAAATTATGTATCTATATAAAAATTTCGGCCAACTGGTTAAAATATGTTGAGTACAAGCGATAATTGTAGAAATACAGACCAAAAAAAAAAAATGTAAATGAGCTAAACTACCGATGTTATACCCTTGCCGTATCATTTTTTTTATTCAAAAACACGTATCATTATACATAATAACCAGTCACTGTCCACTGAAGCAGTAAAAAAAAAAAAA